CAAAAAGGGCAGCTGAACTTGAAAACTACAATGCGCTGCAATTGAATTTCTGCGTTTTAAAAGTTATTTTTCAATTACCGGTATGCGAAACGGATGGGAAGGCCAATTAACACTGAAGTTGGGGTAAAATGGCCGCCGCGCTTTCACATTGCTATCATAAATCCCTTCAGGTACGATTGGTAATAAAATATGAGCGGATGCGTTGAAGGGATGAGGGTGATATTTTCATAGATCTAACCATTGTGGCAAACTTGAGCCGTTCCCTGATGCCCAACTCAATAACTCATGAAGCTCTGTTTGTTTACTGTGCTCTACCCAACATTACAGCGAATGTATTTGCTTCAGTCAATTTCAGCCTTGTCTTCTCCTTTCTTTCAGCAAACATCGAGGTTATTTGTCACAAAACAGCTTATCATTAGAAGACTTACGTTTCAAACATCTATTTGTAATAAATGACTCTCCTAATGAAATTTTTCCGAAGAGGTATCTTGTGCATGAAAAATAATGGGACCATTTCACACCACTTCGATCCTCTTTTTAGATCCCCACACCAGTAATAAAAATAAGAGACCTTGTATTTCTTCAATCGACGTTAAATGGGACGTTCTTGCCGCGTTCTCGGCCTCAATACGGGTGTCTCGCTCACGAACAATTAGGCACACACACGCACGATTCGCGACGCCAATTGAGCCAATCACGACTGCCCATCACCTACAGTATCCCACGAAAGAAGTGAATGAAAACACAGGCAAGCCATAACTACAGACATACCATGACCGGATTATATGAAGTCATGAAGCAAACCATGTCCAAATAAACTTTAACTCGATTGAAGAATGTATAAAGAGCGAACCTATTGAATGGTACCGCTAACGACAAGACATCGGAGATTTTCTTCGTCGTACAGTTCGACAGCTCCACCATGGAGGTGATGTCGTGCTCGTGAAAAACTCTAGCTCTTAAAATAATTTCATATTTATTATAGAAGGAGGTTACGGTCGACACCTGGAACATACGTACCGACTGGCATCGATTCCTGCAATGGAAACAAGTTCCGTGAGTTCCCTTCGTACTCCAAACGCCAACCGGGAAGCGAAGCCCTTGAGAAGGTCACACAGGTAAGTCCAGCCAAGGCGAGAACAAAATGCGACGACCATAGCTGAAATATTCAGCCCTAACTGGGCTCCCAAAAATCGACTCCAACAGAAGTAATCTTTTGCTAGTTTCAGCATCACGTTAATGTTATGGAACAATTTGTGCGCGAATCGCCCTTGCTCTGTGCCCTAACGGAGCAATCAACGACGCTAACGGAGGCAATTCTTGGACACAGGGGACAGAGGCCAATTACTCACCACAGCTGCGAGCGAGTTGCAAACGATGTGAGCGAACATGCATGTCGTCTACTGACGCTTACTGTAATAGGCTAAACGAACCGGCATAAGTGGCACTTTGTTGCTGAAGGGTCTGAAGAGTGCCACGGCTGATTCTGAATCGACGAGCTACCTCATCAATCGGCTTCTCATTGACAACATCAAATAGGGCAAGTGTGCAGAGAAGAAGCGTAAATGGAGCTAAACATCACATAATTGGTCTCATTTCAGAACTCGTAAACTCAGTCAGTAACCTGGTAGCTTCGATCGGACGACGAAGTGCTTGAGCTTCGCAGACGTGAGACGATGAAGCGATCATTCGCACCAACCTGAAGACAATACCTCTCGTTAGGGAAATCAATTGTATCCCAAATATGTGCATTTACAAATATACTAACGGTTTTCTCCTACACTACAACATTAGACCTTTACGTATATTTTTGAGAATACTCCATGAAAATCGTTGCTAAAACTATGTACACAATTTTAGTTGCAGTTATGGTTGCGCCCTGACTGAGCACTTCTCACAAGATCATATAAAAAAGTCGTTTTCCAATTATTAGATGAAAAGGGAACATTATAAAAAGCGTCCAACAAGACGCCATCAGACGCAAAGTGCGATCAAATTAATTGAACGAGCTGATGTGAACGGAGAGCAGTTATTTTTGATTTCTTCTCAATTGTTTGGTTACCTGAGTACTATTCAATATGCAAATTCATTCATCTCATTTAGCGTACGCCAAGAAATTACATCAAATTGGATTAAAGAGAGCGGGAGTGAACTCCCCAATTCTTGACATACAAAGGTCGAGGGATAAGCGCTCAATCGACACTAATCAGCTTCCGGTGCTTTCACAGCTCAAATTTATTCCAATGAAAGCATGGTTCTGAACACACAGGCGATGGTAATCTTTCCGTAGCCCTAGTAGGGCTCAGGTGGATGACCATTCGCCAATAAAAAATGGTGGATATGGTAGGTAGCCGTGATGATGAAGAATTACTGTTTCTTTATCCAAAAGTACCACTTCAGTGAGGGCGTTTAGGTACTATCGTACCATAGTGGAAGAAAAACTGGGACGGAGCACACCTCCTCGTAAGGGAATCCGATAACAAGACACCCCTACCCCCCAAACCGTCATACACCCGAACTATCTTCCTTCCGCTTTCCGGCTCTGCTGTAGCCGATGTCATGATGAGTCGTGGGTGCGCTGTCCAGATGTCGTTTCCCTCGGCATTCAGTTGGACCATCGTCAAACAGCCTTCTGCCTTACACAGCGTTAAGATGACAACTATTATTAACTCGACTCAACTTGCCAACTCGGCGTGCCGGCCTCGTGTTTTTTCCCGGTCGAGCAGTTGTATGAGAATATTGCCGTGCAAAATGATGTCCACATCGCAATCCCTGCCCATCACCGCTAATTTGTTTGGAGTCTACCCTAACACCATCTATCCCTTCTACTCCTTATTTTTTTCTTGGAATATTCTACACGTCGTTTGACGACATCGCTTGTGTTTTGGCATTATCTGCAACCGCATGTGATCAGGATTTAGCGATCTTTGTCGATGCCGCCGCCGTCCGTCACGCTCGCGTCCGCTTATTTTCTTGCCTCATAACGGCCCCAACCTCACCTTCTTTGCCTTAGGATAATTAAGCAAGGATGAAATTCGTGCTGCGTTATCCTATATCTCTATGATGGCAAGAGAATTTCGTTTAGAAGGACGCATAATGACCATGGAGAAGCAAAAATATCCACTTTTGCTGAAAATGAAATAAAAAGTATCTTTACCTTAGTTTTCCCATCAAATACACATACCTTGAAAATCAGAGTTTTGTATTAATTTCTTCAACAATATTTCATTTGAATGTTTACGAGAGTGAAAGGAAAACTAGGAAAGAATTGAACTGAAATTCGTAAGTTTAAGAAATCTACGCTAAATCAAGGCATATTTTGCCACTCTGGCGGCTATGTGGTTCATAGTTATGCTAATGTATTATCTATAGAATGAATACAAAAAACGGAGAAAGAGGAGCGCATGCACGATAAAAATAACTCGATAGAAGGTTTCTGATCGTCAGAATGTCTCGATGCGGTCGTCAAAATTTTGGCTGCGCATGGATTGCGCGTCCACCCATGCTCGCTCAATCGCGGTTAAAGGCTCGATTTTAGCGATCAAAAGTAGCTTTTACTTGGTGAAAATACGTCGATTGGTCATTGGATGAGGGACATGAGAAGTAATTACATGTGGAACGACTTCGTAAACCCGAGATATGGATCTTCCTTGCCTTCTTTGATTGCTGTTATGCGACTTCGCATCGCTCTGTTCCTCTGTCAACACATAGCAATCTCTGTATTCTATATTCGCTGCACGTAGGACCTGCGCTGAGTGATTAGATAGTGGGGTGTGCCACGCTAAGTCAATCTGCGCCCAAGAGTGAGGCCACGCCTGATCCTCGAGGTTAAATCTTAATCGCTTGCTAATTGCATGTCGTCAGCTTCAGGAGGTGTGCCTTGTTTGCCAAATATGCAATTTTCCCTGCTGTGTCCTTTGACGCTTTAGTTTTCGTAAATTCCTTTTCCTCCTTTAACTCACCAGGTACAGCATATGAAGCTCTGTGTCGAGAGCAATTGCTTTAGTGGCTTGCTGAAGATCAGTAAACACAAACAATGCTGCATCAGGAGGAAGAGATGATACCAGTGCAGCTCTGCCCAGTTGAGTAGCCGATAATAGCGAACCTTGGCAAGGATTTACTTACAGATGTCAGGATTACGAACCGGTTGAGCAGAACGTACAGCGTTCGTCTCCTTTACTCTCGTTTCTTGAACATCTACAAAACGATTCGCAGCCAAATCACATAGCGCGTCCTCCACATTTCGTAGCGGTTTGGATAGAGTGAATCGCAGCAGGGTAGCGGTTTGGATAGAGTGAATCGCAGCACCTCCTCCAACTCCTCGACATTTCTCGCAAAGACCATCACAGATGCACTGGAATCTTCCATGAGTATTTTAGACATACTCCAGTAAGGACAACCCTACCTCTAAAAACAATTTTGTGTGATCCCTTATTGGATCCACCGTTGAATGAGGAGAGGAGCTGATCAGCCGAAGCACGTCTTGCACTTCGCTTTGCCGTACTGCCAATATGCTTTCACCTGAAAGAATAATAACCTTCCGATGAATTATTTTGACGTTTTGCTCACACTAATTGGTCGATGCTACCTTGTCTGATGTCTTGCTTATAAAGTTCAGAGAGCAACTACGAGCTGCTGCGAATGAGATCACACATTGCGTTACATTAACGGCATTTCGACACTTCACTTGGCCGTAAATAGGCAATTTGGTTAAGATTGAACTTGACCGGAAGAGCGCTTGTTAATTTGCACAAATTGCCATTCGACTCTTGCTGCCCCTCACATGGGAACGGCAACCCCCGTCTCACTCCGCCTCCTCTGCCGCCTCAACCCTCACCGCACTCTGCACAGCCGCCTGAAAATTAGCCAATGGCTCCTTCGTCCCGCCCATCACTCCCATTACTACAGTAACGGAGGCCTCGTCTCAGTATTCCTACAAGCAGCGAATTATGGCGGTCGAAGAAATGCAGCTCTCGAATGGTGTGATGACTACCGGCCATATGGGAGGCATGCAAGGCGCAGCTATGGGTCTGGGCCCACAACGAATGAGTTTCGCCATTCATGAAATTCTCGGTCTACAAGGCAATGCCTATTTATCCCACGGTTACTGTCCTCAAGGATTTTTCCCCCAACAGGTGCGACTTTTTCATCTATTATACTTTGAGATACCTCTTCTTACTTTGTCGTTTAATGTGGCATTCAGAATTTCGCTGTCGATATTGGCTCTTGCGCATCGTTTGACAGACCACTTTGTGGATCAGATCAGCTGGTTGCGGGAACACATACAGGTACGATTAACATAAGTACTTCATATATACCCTCCTTCTTGAGCATGAGCTGTTTCTGAGGAGAATTTCTGTTTAGGTACACATAACAGTTACAATATGTCGTTATCAGCCTCCCATACGATGCCCTCGGACGAAGGAGGGAACCATCAAGGATCTGGAGGGAAAAGCAAGCGCAAGAAACGACGACATAGGTACGCCAAGAAAGATGGTTTCTACAGAACGATCGCAATCCTAATTCTTGCAGGACGATTTTCACACAATACCAGATCGACGAGTTGGAGAAAGCTTTCCAGGAAGCCCACTATCCAGACGTTTACGCTCGAGAAATGCTGGCCGCAAAAACGGATCTACCAGAAGACAGAATACAGGTACTATCATTGATCTTTGAAAAACGGCCCTCCATCCACTATCAAAAAGACTGAAGATCGAGCACTTCACTCATTCAGAGTGTCGTTTTTCACACTTGTGAGTTCCGATTAGATTTCCACGATGGCTTCACAATGGCCAATCAGTGCTCAATAGCCGGCCACTCGTCACCCTACTACATTCACCCTAAGTAAAGTGATTTGTCGTGGCGATTATCGCGATCCACTAGCCGCCTCAACGTTGACCACACTCAAGACTCATGTTCATATGCCAGTCGAAAACGCATAATTAGCTTAAAAGCTAATTCGCCTGAGCAAGAGGAGTCCGCAGAAAATTGCTGCATAAAAGTGGGTAAGTGGTATTCGAATTAGCTTGACCTCCCTCGAGGAATAGAAGCTAGGGAAGCTCTAAAAACAACAGCCACTTCCAACACAGCGTACTTCCCAGTTTCGCCATTTCAGGTGTGGTTTCAAAACCGACGAGCAAAATGGCGAAAAACCGAGAAAACTTGGGGAAAGAGCACGATTATGGCAGGTAGGCTTCGTTGTAGGAAACTTATTATAGAAGACTCAGACTTGCAGAAAGTTGGAATTATTTAGAATACGGTTTGTACGGCGCAATGGTGCGACATTCGCTTCCATTACCGGATACAATTACGAAAACGGCTGAGACATCGGATCCTCAACACAGCGCCGCGCCGTGGTTACTCGGTAGGATTTATTTTGAGTTTTAATCCAAAACGTATTCCTCAGATAAAGAAGGGTGGTTTCTCTTAAGAGTCCTCACCCAATTGCGCCAAACATGGAATACCCCAAGCATCAAGAGCATCAACAATCAATAGCAATGTTTGTGTTGGTTAGGGACACGAGTAACAAAACCACTGCTTGGTCGGGGGAAGAAGTCCCAATCTAGCGCTTTTGATTACTATCGCACGGTTCCCCTTCGGAATAATTTTTGAAAACTTCTCTTGGTATCAGGGATGACATGTCTCTCGTCCCACAACATTCCAACGCTTCCAATCCCACTCTCTTCAGAGACAACGCCAAGGTTTGCTGCATATAAAAGCAAAGGAACATTTCTGAACGAAGTTGAAGTTGTAGAGAATAAAACTCATGAAATCCGTTCTTTTGGAAACGATTCAATACCCCCAAGGCTATTCTCTCAACTAGAACCCAGAATCAGATCATTGCCAAAAAGACCATCCAAAACCTTTCAAATGATCAAGGAGCTATGTCTTCCTAAAACGAAAGCCGACAATAGATATGTTGTGTGACGAAATAAGGGTCTTCTATGAAATTGCATTGGGTAAACAACTGGCTCCAAAATCGACATTCCGCTCAGTGGAGATATCCGATGTTGCAAGCCTCTGCATTCAGGATCCACTTGGATTCCCAATAATTGGATGGAAAACTCTACTTTTAGCCTTCTTTGCCTCATAATGAAAGTAAATCTGGACACTTGATGTTTCCTTCTGCCATCGAGGTTTTTGGGTAGAAATTTCATTAAGGGCTTAACGTTTCTAAGGCAGAAGAAAAGCAGTGAGATCATCACTGATGCGAAGGTTCTGTGAAGGTAGAAGTAAGCAATTGCTAAACGAGTAATTCTGAGAAATATTCAATAAATTCTCCCCTGACATCTGTTACCCTTCTCGTACTAAGACGAGTATGTATTACTGACCATGAGTTTTACTTCGCTCTGTTCCATGGAGGGTGAGTTCACTGTTAAGTCGACAACACATTTACTCGACTAATGCGATTCTGGGAAAAACTTTGTACAAATGAGGCGAAACATTGAAAAACGATGAAAAAATCATAATGAGCTACTTATTCCATGTTATCCAAAGAAAGGTTGAACCCTTGTCAACCTTGCTTTTCACAGGTTACATTCGACTGATATTTCCCCAGTAAATTGGAAAAGCATTTTATTTTTTGAACTGAAACGAAACCATTCTTGCACGTTTTTGAATGCAAAAGACTGAACTGTTTTCAAATCACTCGCTGTATTTATACAATAAAATCCACGGGATGGTGAAATAGGGTTCATGGTGTCCGTTTCTTCTGACTTG